TTAACGTTTGCTACCGTCCTTAACTAGGTTTCTATGCCCCCCTTTGTTTTTAATCAAGTTTTAATTAAGTCTTTACTTCTTGTGGGCTTAGACGCACATCAGTATAGTCTCTGTGCATATTGAAGATTTGCAGATTGAAGCCTCGGCCACACGGGTAGGAGAATGCAGGGAGGGGAGGCGTGGCTGTTTTCCCCGGAGCAAACTAACGCGCGACTGCGCGATCAGGCATTGGGTTGAGGTCCCATCGAGCTCCCGTGGTTAGGGGGGAGGCGCCGATCTTATGTTCCAGTGTTCTTAAGTAATTAATTGGAGTGGAAGGAAATGAAAGATATTGACATTTTTAAAGAGACAGTGGCCTTGGGAAGCCTCAATTGTACTTTGACTGTGCGCATGGTGCTGCCACTGTGTTTTACCTAGAAAAAAATGGCTACCAAAAAACGTCTCTAAAAGAAATCCCAGCAACACAGGAGATAATGGGGGTGACCATGACATCATCTAGATGGATAATGACAACTGAGTAAACAAATAATGACAATTGTGGATTAAACAGTTCTAGAACCAGTCACGGTCATGGGCAGTGAGATCGCACCCGGAAAATCCACCTATCTTCCATCACTCTAGCGTGGCTAATGCTCCGTGTGACCGGGACCTAAGTTTGTAGCAGGAATAGGAACAGGGGGGCTGTACCACCACTGCTTTGAATCAATTATGACTATCCACCTTCCTTGGAGTTAAACTCGGCTTTTGATGCCAGTGATGGGTTTCAGCCCATCTGTTTTAATGGTGCTGATTCAATGGCTCCATTTTTTAAAAGGACCCTAAACGAGTATTCCCATAAGGACTGATCTGAACGTGGCAGATGAAATGTTTTCATCTCCTCTTTTTGTTTCAGACAATTTTTAATGCTCACTTATCACACAGGTCAAGGCGCATTGTGTGCTGTAATAAACAAAAGGGTCAAATGGGAGCCACAGCAACAGCCGTGAAATCTGCTTGAAGCACAGAGCCAAGGACAAATGTAAATGAAGAGGTACAAAATAGCAGGCTGGCTGATGGATACTCAACAGGCTACATTACAAATGTCCCTTTTTTTCTTTTTTAGAGATTCAGTATATTTTCCTGATATTTAACAGTAGGGAAATTGGGGACCTTTAAAAAAAATTGTGACACGTACACATTTGGCTTATGTACACACATATGTATATATATACACACAGGTACATTATCACTGACCACATTTGTATCCTATGGGTCAAATCTTTCCTCTGGTGGAAGGAGCCCCCCCAGAAGTAAGGCACTTGGAACCCTGTGCCTCAGGGGAAGTTTCCTTCTGCCACTGGAAAGAGCCAGTCTGGTGTGGTGGTTAAATGTGTGGACTCTAATCTGGGAGAACCGGGTTTGATTCCCCACTCCTCCACTTGCAGCTGCTGGATGACCTTGGGAAAGCCACAGTTCCTCTCAGAGCTGTTCTCTCAAGGACAGTTCTAGAAAGAGCTCTCTCAGCCCCACCTACCTCACAGGGTGTCTGTTGTGGGAGGGGAAGGGAAAGGAGTTTGCAACCCTCGCTGGGTCTTCCAGTGAAGGACGGGGTATAACTCCAATCTCCTCCTCCTCTTCCTCCTCCTCCTCCTCCTCTTCTTCTTCTTCTTCATCAGCAGAACAAGTCCCCAGGATCCAGTCCTATGTGTTCTTCTGGGGAATTTGGACTATGTAAACAAACATATTTTATCTCAGATAACTAGGTCAGGGGGGTGTCGACTCATTTGTTATGAGGGTCGGATCTGACATAAATGAGACCTTGTTGGGCCGAGCCATGTGTGTCATAAAAATTAATGCCAGGTAGCGGAGATATAAACTTTATAAAGGACACAAACACAGAGGGTTTTTTTTTCCTTCTTAACATAAAAACATGCTTAAAACATTAGCACTCTTTCAATATTTTGTTTATTTAGCAGTGTCTGATAACTGACACCTCTTGCTCTGAATTATTGCATCAAATGTCTGTGCTGTTGCAGTCTTGAGTATGCTGTTCAGGTGTGTATCTGAAAGCCGCAAACCTACGACGACGCGGCAGCAGCAGAACTGGAAGAAGAAGCAGAAGACAGCCAGTTCCACTGCGGGCCTGACAGAAGCCCTCTGGGGGCCTCATCCGGCCCCCGGGCTGCATGTTTGACACCTTTGAACTAGGTGACTGGTATGCATTCCTGACAAAGAAAACAGACCTTAGTAGTTATATCCAGGGCCTCTGAGAAGGGGTTCAGGGGACAACATTCTGGGGACTTAGTCATCCTGGGGAGCCAACAGGGTGATCTGGTCACTGCTGGAATGAATTTTGTGTTCCATTTATTGGGGGGGAAGGAAGGGGAAGGGTGACTTCGGACCAGTCATTAAGCTACCTTCTGAGCAGCTGTGAAGAAAAAATAGAGGTGGGGGGACCATGCATACTGCCCTGACGTTCCTGGAAGAAGGGAGGTATATAAATCTGGGAAATGTAAGAGGGACAGTGGAGTAACACGTACACAGAGACAACCAACGTTTAGCTTGCTTGTTTCCATATGATTATTGGGTTTGGTTGGGTGTCAAGCAATGTTCCCTCTAAGCTGTGGAGTCTTGTGAGCAAAAATTCTCATTGTGAGCTACTGGCGTTGAAGTTGTGAGCGAGGGATTTGGCTGTTGCATCAATTCGTTTGCTCTGGAGCCACCCCTTCCTGAGCTGAGACAAAAATGTGTGAGCCGGAGGCTAAAAAAACCTGTGAGCAAGCTCGCACTAACTCAGCTTCGAGGGAACACTGGTGTCAAGAGAGGCTGAAGGAAACTTTTCCTGGGGGGCTGTGATGGTTCCCAGCTGCCCCAGTTACGACTAATATAAGCCGCAAGTTCATTGCAGTGTGTAAATGCTCTTTTTCACAATCCATGTTTTTAAAATGTATGCCGTAATGAAATTTGGCCAGTAGGAAATAGATCATAATGGGAGAGGATCTATAGAGTATTGAGATGAACACTGAACCTATAAACTCACTGGAACGTTCTAGCGATTAGATATTGGTTAACTGTGAATCATGGCTGACAAAGACTCGGCACTGGGGGAATTTCTCCGTTACTTATGCCTTTCTGTGAAATTGTTCTTTCTCTCACAGCTTCATTCTGACCAAGACAGAGGAGACGGCTCACTTAAGTACATCCTTTCTGGAGATGGAGCAGGAGACCTCTTCATTATCAACGAAAACACCGGAGATATTCAGGCCACAAGGAGACTGGACAGGGAAGAGAAGCCTGTTTATATTCTCCGCGCACAGGCGATCAACAAAAGGACCGGGAGACCGGTGGAGCCGGAGTCAGAGTTCATCATCAAAATCCACGACATTAATGACAATGAGCCACTGTTTACAAAGGACGTTTATAACGCCAGTGTCGCGGAAATGTCTGATGTAGGTAGGTGTCAGACCCATCAACAATGCAAAGGAAAGCTTTCACTAGGTGGTCTAGGGATCTGAGGAGGGGGGACTCAGTTTTTGATAGGGAGATGCAGTCCACATAAGCACATACGGCACAGATTATGGATCCCAATGAGCCTTCCTTCCTGACATTAGCATGTGAATTGGCTGGCCCCAATAGTAAGAGAGAACATGAGAAAGGAGGTAAGATTATTGAAGGGCTGTCATGTAGAAGATGGAGCGGATCTATTCTCTCTTGCTCCAGTTTGCAAGACTAGATCTAATGGGTGGAAATTACAAGGGAGTCGTTACCGGCTAACTATCAGGAGAAACTTCCTAACTGTAAGAGTGGTTGAGCAGTGGAACAGTCTGCCTCGGAAGGTGGTGGATGCTCCTTCACTGGACGTTTTCAAGCGGAGGCTGGACGACCATCTTTCGGGTATTTTGCAGGGCTATCTTTTGGCTATGCTCCTGCAGAGTGTAGGGGGTTGGACTAGATGACCTGCAAGGTCCCTTCCAACTCTAACATTCTATGAGTCTGTGATTCTATGATTCTATGGGTCAACACTAGAAGCAACCTAATGGGAGCCTATGGTTTGTAACCTCCCTTCTTGTTATGTGACAAATTGTAGCATGTGCAGGCACCCAGTTAGAAAACCAGGGAAAGATGGTGGCAGTAATGTCTGCCCTAACCCGTGGTAAACATATCACAGCTTCCTGTGGAGGTTGTGTCTGTCTACAGTGTCTAATAGTTGCTGATGGACATGCCCTCCGAATTTCTCTAACCATTTAAAAACCCATCTCAGTTTGTGGTAGAAGAACAGAGCATACTTTATTGAAGTCCTTCATTACAAATCATCACATATAAAACTGTAGGGAAGCAAATATGCTACCTGAGAAAGATTTATGTGTGTTGTCTGATTGAAAATAGGCAGGGGTGTTTTTTATTTAATTCCTGCTATATGTTTGATTGGAGAAACATTATATCAACAGGATTTCTTTTCTCAGACTTGTATTTCCAAACAGTATTGCCAGTTTGCTCCAAACCATGTTTCTATTTCAGCTTTCCCCAGAAATGAAAGTTCAAAGGCACCTGATGTGATCATAATGAACTTCAGATAGGTAGAGATCTAGATGATTTTCAACATTTTCAGAGTTGGGTCCCTCTCTTAAACCCTAGAATGGAATCCCCAAACTGCCAGAATGTGACATTAAAGTCATGTGACAAGAACAGGGGAGAGAAGAGTTATAAGAACGTAAGAAGGGCCCTACTGGATTAGGCCAGTGGTTTATCTAAACCAGCACCCCGTTTCACACAGTGACCAACCAGTTGTCCTGGAGAGCCAACAACAGGGCGTAGAGGCCAAGATCTTTCTCCTGACCAGGGCTATTTTTGGGCAGGAACGCACAGGAACGGAGTTCCAGCTGGCTCCTGAGTTGGCCACACCCAGCAGGAACTCATTAGCATAATAGGCCACACCTAACAGCAGAAACTCATTAGGATTGGCTACATTAGGGGTGTGTGGCCTCACATGCAAAGGAGTTCCTGTTACAAAAATGCTCTGGGTTTTGACAACAAACAAGGTAAACAGAATAAGAAGCAAAAGGGGTGTGTGGCTGGATGACCACACTTCTGGCAACATGGGGGTGCGGCCTAATATGCTAATGTGCTGTGCTGTCAAGGGTGTGGCCTAATATGCTAATGAGTGTCTGCTGTTGGGTGTGGCCTATTATGCTAATGAGTTCCTGCTGGGCTTTTTCTACAAAAAAAGCCCTGCTCCTGTCGTTGTCTGCTTGCACTGGTATTCATGAGTTTGATGCCTCTGCGTTTAGAGGTTCCCTTGACTCACCAAGGCGAGAAGAGAAAAGAGTATGATTCTAGTCTGCTGCAGCATGGAGCTACTCTGGACATTATTCTCCCTAAGTGCAGGTTACAGGAAGTCCGTACATTTAATGACACAACCCATGAGAAGTGTCAAGTTATAGTCTCCTTACCACGTGCGTAGCTTGCCACGTGATCCGATGCCCCCTGGCGACTTGTTGGATGAGCTCGTGGAAGACTGGCACGGCCATCTCTTGGGAGCCATCAACAAAATAGCTCCCTGGTGCCCTCTTTACCCCCGCTCTAAACAAGCTCCATGGTGTGCTCCAGAGCTTTGGAGGATGAAGTAGGAGCTGAGACGGTTAGAGTGAGCATGGCGGCGTTCTCACCACAAAGCCGCAAGAGTATCTTTTAGGATGCTTATGAAAGCCTATGAGATGGCAATGAAGGCTGCTAAGGAGGATTCCAATGAGGCCTCCATTGCATCCACTAGCTCTCGCCCTGCCCACTTATTTAGGGTAATCAGGTCACTAACATCCCTTCCGCAAGGGTAGCAAAATTTGGTGTAGTGGTTAAGTGTGCGGACTCTAATCTGGGAGAACCGGGTTTGATTCTCCACTCCTCCACTTGCACCTGCTGATGTGACCTTGGGTCAGTCACAAGCTCTGGCACAGCTGTCCTTGAAAAAGAGCAGTTTGTGTCAGAGCTCTCTCAGCCCCACCCACCTCACAGGGTGTCTGTTGTGGGGAGGGGAAGGGAAAGGAGTTTGTAAGCCGCTCTGAGACTCCTTTGGGTAGTGAAGGGCGGGGTATAAATCCAATCTCTTCTCTTCTTCATCTTAAAGAATCGGTTATTGGCTGTAAGACATTTGTGAGCTATTTTGTGAGTAAAGTCTTGTCACTCTGCCTTGACTTCCCTGCCATGGTTGAAACAGTACATGAACTGGAAGCCCCTTGGCCGTCTTCCAGTCCAGTGCTGGACCAATTCAGCTGACTTTTCCAGGAAGAGATTGACAAGATCCTGGCAACGGTGAGGCCCACCACCTGCCTTCTTTAGTGTCCATCAGGCACCTCTGGGAGATTTCATCAGTCTGTCCCTATCATCGGGGACATTCCCAGGGTGCCTCAAGGAAGTGGCGATGTGATCACTCTTGAAGAAAGCATCGTTGGACCCTACGGTCCTGGCCAACTACCGCCCAGTGTCAAATCTTCCATTCCTGGGTAAGGTGGGTGAGAGAGCAGTGGCCAGGCAGCTGCATATTAGGCCACACCCCCTAGTGTAGCCAATCCTCCAAGAGCTTACAGAGCTCTTCTTACTGGGGCTACTGTAAGCTCTTGGAGGATTGGCTACACTAGGGTGTGTGGCCTAATATGCAAAGGAGCTCCTGCTACCAGTAGAGCCCTGCCCAGCTGTATCAGTTGATGGATGGATGGCCAGACTCCGCCCTGGATACTTTGGCCAGGGGATTAGAGGCTTTGGCTGACTGACTGAAACAGAGTCGGCTGAAACTGAATCCAGTAAAGACGGAGGTGATGTTCCTGAGTCATAGGAGGTTGGGTTCGGGAATCTGACTCCCTGCCCTTGGTGGGGCGCCACTGATGCCAGCACCAACGGTGAGGAGTCTGGGAGTGACTTTGGATGCCTCCCTTTCTATGAAGGCCCAGGTCACCAGTGTTGCCAGATCAGCCTTTTACCATCTTCAGCTGGTTGGGCAACTGGTTCCCCTCCTTTCCCCCCACAACTTAGTGACTGTGAACCATGCAGTGGTCATGTCCAGGCTTGACTACTGCAACTCACTCTACATGGGCCTATCCTTAAATCTGATCCAGATGTTCCAGCTGATGCGAAACGCAGTGGCGCATCTGCCGACTGGGATGTCTGTGTGGACGCACATTCAGCCAGTGCAGCACCAGCTGCATTGGTTGCCGGTTGAGTACTGAATCAGGTTTAATGTTATAGTGAACTGCAGGCTGTGGAAGGTCAGTAGTTCAGCAGTTCGAGACCCAAGTGTGCCGCATGACGTAGTGAGCTCCCGTCTCTGGTTCCAGCTCCTGCCAACCTAGCAGTTTGAAAGCAAGAAATTGCAAGTAGATAAATAGGTACCACTTCGGTGGGAAGGGAACAGCGTTCCGTGTGCCTTGGTGTTTAGTCATGCCAGCCACATGACCACGGAAATGTTTTCGGACAGCGCTGGCTCTTCGGCTTTGAAATGGAGATGAGCACCGCAACCCTAGAGTCGGACTCGACTGGCTTTCGAGCAAGGGAACCTTTTTATTAACCTTTAAGGCCCTATGCAGCCAGGGACCAGCATACCTGTGGGTCTGTCTTTCCCCATATGTGCCCTGCAGAGCCTTGCACTCTTCAGATCAGCAGTCCTCGGCCTGAAAGACATCCACCTTGCCTTGACTAGGGTCTGGTGGAACATGCTCCCAACTGAGATCTGGGCCCTGCAGGATCTGTTACAGTTCTGCAGGGACTGTGAAATGGAGCTGTTCCCACCGGCCGTGGATTGAGGTGGTGGACGTCGTCAATTAACATTGGCCCCCCTGCTTTAACTGCTCCATGGCGCAATTAACCTCATGGCGCCAGGAGCAGTATCAGCTGTCATCTGGGCGATCCACCATCCTGGCAGGAACGTATCTTACATCGGTCTGGAATGAACCACTGAGCTGCCCCTAATGACTTATATGTTAGTCACCTCCGATTTTAATTATACTGGATGACTTTTTATGTGTTAATGGATTACTGCTTTGGATTTTGTTTTTTTTTGTTATGATATGTTGTAAGCCGCTGTGAGCCTGCTTGCAGGATAGGGCGAGGTAAAAATCTCATAAATAAATAAATATACTTGCATGCCGTGCATTGCATGTAGAAAAATACAGTCGTATGTGATTTTCCCTTTTTTGCTATAAATTTTCCACTGGAGCTATTTTCTAACAAGCAAGAAACCTTTTAGGGAGGGTCTCATGCTTCAGACTGTGGGTTGGATCCAGGCAGGCTTTCAAATCATTCTCATCTAATTCCCTTCCTCACTACATCCCCCATCTCACATGGTTTTGGTCCATGTATATTCCAAGATCCATTGCGTCGCTTTTATGGTGATCAGAGGAAACCTTGTTCTCCACTTTTCACCACTGGAAAAGCTGTTTCTATCCACCCCTCTATATCTGCAGAACGACTTTTTTCTGGGCACCAACCACATTTTTACGGTTTGGTTTGTGGTTTGTGACTGAACCATGAATCAAACTACAAACCCATATGAACCGGGAGGCTGGTTCACTAACCCACCCAGTTCATATTGGTTTGTGAGCCATTTAAAGTTTAAACCCCTGCTTTCTGCTCCCCACGGCTTTTCATGGGGAGCAAAAAGCAAGGGTTTACAAACTCTCTGCCACTCAAAAAGCAAGGGTTTACAGCTCTCCGCCACTCAGCTGTTTTTTTGTGAAGAGTAGAAAAAGAGCAGAAAGCAGGGTAAAACCCTGCTTTCTGCTCTCCATGAATCACCATGAACTGCAACAAATTTTGTGGAAGTTCATGGTGGATCTTCAGTTTGCAAATATTGCTTTGCGAACCATGAACTGGCCAAAATTCATGACAGACTTTAGTTCATCAGCCAGTTTACGCCCATCCCTATTCTGTAGCACTCATGTCTTTAACTATGTGGTATGTGAAATGAAGTTATAAGCAGGGGTCATTTCGTAGAAAAAGAGGTGCAGGAGCTCATTAACATAACTCATTAGCATAACTTATTTGCATATGCCACACCACTTGAAATCACCGGAACTGTGTCAGAAGGCAACATCCACCACTCAGGATCCACGTGACTGTTTTGGATTGCTAGCTATGGGGGGGGGAATCTGTCCTCGCAGAGGAGGGAGAGCTTGTACCTGAATAAAACATGGTCTTAAAGGTGCCACTGGACTGTTTTGGACTGGGGGCCGGGGGGCCTCTGCAACACCTGGCTGCTTCTTGCTCCTCATGGCCCGGGGCTGCTGGGAGCAGGGTTGGGCATGTTGCATGTGATTGCCCCCTGGGCTCTTTACTGCCGGAGCTCCACTCCTGCGCGCTCCTGCAGGAAATGACCCCTGGTTATAAGAAACTCTGATATCTAAGAATAGCCCTTGAATTTCGCTGTGAATCTCCCCCCCACACACACACACACAGACTCTCATCTTCCCTCCCCTGAAATGGAAGCACTGCTGGAAATTGCATGCACGGAGGACTTTGAAGCCAGCTAGAGCCAAGGATGACAGTTTAAAATGATGATGCCCTTTGGCAGAACAGCGTATATCTCTCTGTCTCTTATGATTGCAGGTACATTCGTCGTGCAAGTCACAGCAACGGATGCCGACGACCCCACATATGGGAACAGCGCTAGAGTTGTCTACAGCATCCTCCAGGGGCAGCCATATTTTTCTGTCGAGTCTGAGACAGGTCAGGAGACCTTAATCTGTCATTTTCAGACAGCCTCCATAATTTTAAAAAACACGTTAAGTCAAGAGAGGACGTATTAAGGAAATTCTTCAAGGAGATCCCGTTTGGCTCAGTGTGGACTCTGGAGAAACCAACTGATTGATACCCGTGTGAACATGACACATCATTTGCATAGCAATAGCTTAATGAGTAAAATGTAGCCTGGACGAAAACTTCTGTTTCACTGGTCTCGAACTCACATGGAGAATATTCGCGATGGTGCTATGAAAGCAATCCAATCCAAAGCCTTTTATTGGCATATAAATAAAGATACAGTAATCTAAATACAAAATCATGCAGAGTAAAATTAAAATTGCAGAGTAACATCACAGAGTAACATCGTAATAAAACCTAATTCATAATGTCACTTATCAGGCCGTAGGACTGCAGAGAAACTTTGCTACGGTTTCAGTTATTTCTGTATCTGGATTATCAAGCAAGAAAAGGAGCTTAAAATCATCAGGGGTCCCTAAAAACTGGCCTAAAATGGGATATAAAAGATCCCAACACTATGAAAGCAATGCCCAGTTTGGTCATTTGGATTTGGTGGGTGAAAAAGAATAAGAGAAAACATGCCTAATCACGTGTTCTTTGAATTTGGGCTAGCCTTTTTCTTCCCCCCATGTAAGCTAACTTGCAGGAAGCTCAGTACAAGGTAGTTCCATATTTGAGAGGTAGCACAGTGCATAAAGTGCTGGGCTAGGATTTGGGAGACATGGGTTCAAATGCCCACTTAGCCATGAAGCCCACCTTGGACCAGTCCACCACAACCTCTCAACCTAACCATACCACAAAGGATTGTTGCAAGGCCAAAGAGAGCAAGACCCATACGCATTGCCCTGAGCTGCTTGGAAAAAGGGTCAGATAAACATCTAGTCCAGGGGTGCCAAATATGTGGCCCGGGGGCCGGATCAGGCCCCCGGAGGGCTTCCATCAGGCCCCCAGTGGAACTGGCCATCTCCTGCTTCCAGTTCTGCTGCTGCTGCATCCTAGCTTGCTTCGCCAGACTCTCTTAATCACTCAGCCATTTCATGTTTTAACCTGG